AGGGTGAGAGGGCACTCAGATGGCCATTGGGAGATGCATAGCCAGAGGAAGGATAGCGGTAAGAGGTCGGAGTGCCACCAATCGAGACTGAAGACATGCCACGTTCGTATCCCTGCATGGCAATCTCTTCTTCACCAGAGACGACAGATGGTGCGTAATTCCTTCGGATCTGCGTGTTGATCTTGGGAATAACCGTCGGCTGTTCTGGAGAATTGGACAAGGTGGGAGTCTCGTGGCCCGAAAGGTCGCCTAATTCCAGGTCAGTCACCACTTTAATAGTTCCAACAGAAACAGACATACCAGTGGCAGTCTCCTTAGTATTAGCCAACTCGGGTGATGAAATTGCTGCCCGTTCAATAGCCTGAAGCCGCTTGATAAGCGGATTCTTGTCGTCGCTAGTGAGTGGAGTCATCATGCCAGGCGTAGCTCCACGCGGTGTGAGGGTGCTTGTCGGTAGGGTCCTAAAATATTCTCTTCGACCCCTCAACATCCATCCAGGCAATATGTGTGGGTTATTGTCGAGTTGGACGACAGGCTGCTCTGCGTCTTCTGTATCTTCGCCGCTAGCTTGTTCTCCTGCGTCATCTTGGACACGAGGGGCCCGACCACGAACAGGAGAGTGAGAGAGAGGAGACATGGGACGGGGGCGTTTAGCACTATCCGCACCAGGCAAGCCTTGAGCTGTATTGGCTTTACGAAGGGGTGGACGTGGAGGGGATTCGACTGTGCCAGATGGAGGAGGCTCACTAACGACACTATCAGATTTGATCCCATCGTCGCCCTCAACTATAGTTTTTTCTTCCTCAACAGGCTCGGCGATCTGAGGGGGACTGGAATTGCCAGATTTGCGGACTTTGCGATAGTTGACGAGCATGACACCGAGGTAGCGAGGGATAAAGCCGAGGAGAGGAGGGGCTGCACTCTCTACAGCTTCATAAAACAAGTTTTCTCGGGAAACCAAGGGCTAGACAAAGTCAGCAATCAACTCGACAACTCAAAGACATGCACATACCTTGCAGACCGCTCGCTTGGTAAACTTGTAGATGGCACTATGTCCGCCGACTTGATTGCGGAAAGGAGTGAGAGGGACATTGGGTAGAGGGGTGGACTCCAAGTCGTCCAGGGTTCCAAAGGTACCTTCGTCATCCAACTGTTGCTCATCCTCCTCAAACTCTTCACGTTGACCACTGCGTCTTCGAGGAGGCGATGCTGCTCGATCAACCATATCTGGAGAAGGAGAGCGAGAACGACTCTTGAGCTTGCGAAGGGCAGTAGACGACCTCGTGGTGGCGACAGAAGACGCGACCGACGTGGTATCCCACGCAGACTCAGAGTCAGTCGAGTAGGGAGATTCTAAACTGGAAGAGGGGAGGGTCGCTTCTCGGGGATACGGCGGAGGAGGTGTAGTCTCTTGAACAGGAGAGATGGCTCGGGGTTCTTCGAGGTCTTCGATACTAAAGGTGACCGATCGTTTTCTATCATGACCAGGCGAGATGGGTTGGGCAGAGTGGAGGGTTCTGACGGATTGAGCAGATGCGCGCTGCGCCAGGGGGGGTCTCTGGTTCAGCGATAAGGGAGAAGGAATAGAGATCGGATCCGGTTTCGCGGACCGCGCCCGAGAAGCACTATTAACGATACCGCCTCCACCACTAGCGTTTACACCTACAGCCGCCGCTGCACCAGCACCCTCAGAATCGGATCCGGTATCGCCTATTCGATCTCGAGTCCGGCCACGCTCCAAGTTCTCTTGATGCCACTCCCTGAGGTCTCTTACCACCGCTCGCGACGAGGAGCCCCGTTCTCGAGAGACTCGATCCCTCTCCTCCAGGTCCCAATCACGGTCAGGAGACGGTGAGACAAGGGTTGTGCGTTTTGTGGTTGGAATGCTCTTGCCACGCCTCACTGCGGCAGCTTCTCGCTCTGGCCAAGCGGTTCTCTTGACAAACTGGGTCTCTCGAATAAGCTCTTCGCCTTCTTCTGCAGTAGCATCGGGCACGGTGGTGGTGGATACATCAGGAGGTGCAGAAATTCCGGCAGCAGTGGATCGGCGGGTGGGAGATAAGGGAGGAGCCGTCTCCTTGAAGAGCTGAAGATTGGCCGCGACTTTTCTGCCGGTAGTGGATGCAGAAAGAGGTGGAAGCACGGGCGTTGAAGTGGATGTGGAAGAGGACGACGACGAAGAGATGGACGAGTTCGAGCCTTCGCGAGAGGGGCGCGAAGTGGAGCGCTGGTCTCCTCGCTGCTGCTGCTGCTGCTGCTGAGAGGATGAACCGAATGATCTAACTGACAGCGAGGTGGATGGACGAGAGGAAACTTGTCCGCCAGTGTTCATGTGTACGCCACCACTAAGGTTAGAGTTCCGTATTGCCCAGTCTAATGCTTGCTCGGTCGAAGGGGAACAGTCATAGGAAAACTGCTGGTCGCGTATCGAGTCGCGCGCGTCGATGGGAGAGCTCAGGGTGGGCACCGAGGTTGCAGAGCGACTGCGGGAATGGAGGAGAGGAGGAAACAAGTGTGGATGACGGCCTCTTGTGGACGATGATGGAGTAGGGGGAGTATCAGCCGCAAGTGCCATGCACTAAAGGGGAAGCAAATCGGAATAAAACTGGAATAAGATGGAGAAGATGAATAATAGACTGGGCCCTGCTTGGAGCACCAGTATGCGAAAGATGCGAACTAGGTCTTGAGGCGACAAGACGCAGATTGTTTGAGGTCGTTGGATGTGGTCGGGGTCAGGGTTTTTCAGGTGGACTCGGACAGGCCAAGGGGAAAGCGTTCCTTGGAGCTGACGACTTTTATACGCTCAAAGGTGACGAAGGAACTCGAGGTCTGAGCAAGTTTTAATAAATAGAAAGATATTTATTTATTTCCAACTTTACTTTTTAAATAATTCGCTAAGCAATTCCTCCTCAGCGGCGACGAGATTCCTACACACGTTCTTCACCCATTCGCACGTTGATAGGCCATTCACTCCTTAGCCAGCTTATATCGGCATTCAAATATCTCAAAATTATAAAAAATGACGATCGATCACTAGAATTCTCCGAGTTCGGGAGTCTCCGCAAAAAATTTGCCAGTATCATAGTCAACAATCAAAACCACCTACTACTATCAAGGTTACTGCTACTTCTAGATGAATCCACGCAGTCGTAATTGTAGGGTTGACTCAGCATGACAAAGCACGCTGCCGGTACGTGACGCGTCCGATTAGTGGGCTTAGTGTACAAATAGCAGCCAAACCCTGCACTCGCCACGTCCCTCCCGCGTTCAACGTTTCTCCTCTTTTCTGAAAAAGTCAAATCTGGCGGCAATTTGGGGTCGCAGACGAGCTTTAATCTCAATCATGTCGACCGCACCGTCAGCCGCATCGTCATTGCCAGCTGCTCCTGAAATCCCAGTGGGCTTCTATGGGTCTCTCAAATCATGGTATGTATCCTAATTCTATATCTTGAACCCCTGAAAGGGCCGGCGAGCCATCATGTCCAACTCTATTACCCAACATTGACTTCGCTTCCTATTGCTCAGGCTAGCATCCGGTCATAAAGAGGCTGAAGTTGCAGAGGAACGTTTGCTACGTCGTCTGTCGACGTTCCGGTCCAAGAATGAGCAAGACGTGTCGACCCCTTCTACCGCCAACGCTCGCATCTCACAAGTCCCATTATCCAACGGCAAATCAAGATACATTAACATGTTATCTATCCTCCCCACCACCCCTGCGTACCCGCTTCCTGCTTCCAAGGGCCCCGCCATCTCATCTTCGGCCGCACCCGCTCCTTCCTCTCCATCATCGTCCCTCACCAATGACAATTCTCGTAGCGAAGCCCCCCCGACGACCGTCATCTTACACGGCTATGGTGCTGGTCTCGGCTTTTTCTCGCTCAATCTCGAAGCCCTCTCGTCCTGGGTCTCCAAACGGGGCCTACCCGTCTACCTGCTGGACTGGCTAGGCATGGGCCGGAGCGCACGTCCGACCTTCAAAGTATCCGCAAAGCCCGCAGACACTATCGCACGTGTCGACCAGGCCGAGTCCTTTTTCCTCGATGCTCTGGAAGAGTGGCGGGGGACGATGGGCATCAACAAGATGACCCTCGTTGGCCACTCGCTCGGCGCCTACCTCGTCACCGCCTACGCACTCAAGTACCCGCAGCATGTCAGCCGGCTCGTTCTCCTCAGCCCCGCGGGGGTTCCAGCGGGGCCAAACACGACCGTGCCAGCTGCAGAACTCACCCGATCGAGGACGCATCCAGAGGGTAGTGAGGTCACCCAACCACCACGCGAACTCAAGAATCCAAACTCAAAAGACGTATCGGGTATCAAACAAGAGCAAGTAAGGGAAATCGAGGAGCAAAAAGAGCAAAAAGAGCCCTGGACGAGGAGATTGGTGAGTGATCGTCCGTTTCGTTTCGTCCGCGCACGTGATGAGATCTGATCTTATCTCGATAATTCAAATTTGCTCCTTTTCATCAAACGAACATCCTCTCCTTTTATTGCCTATTTTGGTTGGGGTATGACATCGATAGTTTGTGCATCTTTGGGAAGCGGGATATTCCCCGTTTGGCGTCCTCCGACTCGGTGGTCCCTGGGCTCCCTTACTTGTTGCCAAAGTACGTCTATAATCGCCTTATCTCCCTTTCCTTATCAACCATCACGTACACGTCATCTATCCCATGTGCTCTCTCTATCCATCCCACCGATAGTGGCGACTGTTCCCATTCAAAACACCCATTTGCGTTCCTTTTCCCCTTTAATAACCGGACTCACATTCTCGCGTTTTGAATAGTATACCACACGGCGGTTCGCCGACCTGGACCCAGAGCACGTCCGTGATCTCCACCACTACCTCCTCCAAATCTCCCTCTCCCGTGGATCAGGAGAATATGCGCTCTCGCACATCCTCGCCCCGATGGCATATGCCCGTATGCCGTTAGAATACCGGGTCGCGAATCTGAGCAAAGACATCCCCGTCACATTTGTATACGGAAGCCACGACTGGATGGACCCCGAAGGAGGTGTACGGAGCGTCAAGAAACTGAAACAAGTCGGCAATATCGGCAGCAAGATGTACACCGTCCCCGGTGCTGGACATCATGGTAAGTAGTTATTGGTCAAAGTATGATTGCCGGACTTGATACTAACGTGACCTCTGCTTTTTTTCTCAATTAGTTTATTTGGATAATCCGGGAGCTGTAAACAAGCTTTTGGTGAAAGAGCTGGATCTAGCTACAGGAAGGAACTCCAAGGTTACGTTGAGCATTCAATAAGCGCGCCGTGCCACGCTCCACCTTTTGCATCAAGACTTTTTGGGAGGTTAGGTGGGCACACGACCGCATGTGGGTAAATATCAGTGGACAAACAAACACATAGACTTTATGTATTGGTACCATACGCATACACATAATGGATAACTTATCACCTGGGCATATGTAGCCGAAGTTGTCGAGTGAATTAGTTGCCTTTCAGCAATTTAGCTCTGCTCATGTCCGTAGATCTCGCTACCTTTCTTTCTGGAGTCACACTAGATACAAGAGAAGACCTAAGTCCTAGTAGCCGGGATGCGGGGGCCCGGTCGAGTGCTCATCGGGCGGGAGTGGATTAAAACGCACAGGTGGCCAACGCCCGACACCAACGAGAACTCGAAC